TCTCTTGTCCCTGAAACATATTGGCACTCTTCCAGACGAGCAATCCGAATGCGGTTGTCACCGCAAACGACATTGGAAGTTTTGTCAATGTTCGCGGTGTTGGCAAAGGTAGGCGTGAATTTTCTGGAACCTCGATCAATTTTCTCTTGTCCTGAGTATCTCATTCTATTTTATTGTAGGAATTCTACATTATGTTGGTGAAGTCCACGGCAAGGAGGGGCTATTTTGCGGCGTTGAGTTAGAGACACCGACGGGAAAGCACGACGGAACCTATCAAGGTGAGACTATCCTTTGTTATCCAGGAATATTCAGATTTAGAAAAAAAAATTTGCTTTTTTCTGCTTTCTTTATCTTTAGTGATAAATGTCATGTTTTATCTTAGTTTTTTTAATTGTAAATCACTTATCTTTGATCTCTTTGTTTGTTTTAGAAGTGCGTTTCCAACTTTTTTATTCAAATCTAATCTTTTGATGTGATTAGTCAGTGTTCTTTATTGATCAGTTTTTATATATCTTTACATACCATATAGCATGGTTGGTAGACATAAGAGACGTAGCGTGATACGTAATTTACGTTTGTCGTTGAGAATTGAAAAAAAAGAGATGTCAAGTTTTTTCATCTCCGCATTGATGCCAAGCTGCACTATTTTATTCTTACTGTGTACTTACTGTAGACTCTCCTAAATATTAGATCACCTTCAAATTATTGAGTTGTACCCTGACCTGAACCACTTTAGGTGTTGTCTACTTTGTATGCCCACCGTATCATGGCATTTTCGCTCCACTATACCGGGTTGAACTCGACGAGATCGACGATGTTCCCATGATGACCGCATCGCAGACGGCGAAAAACACGGAGGTAAGAACATCGCTGTCTTATTTTTAATATTTCTCCGCTAATGTTGCACAAGGAAGTTTGGAATTCGGCAGACTAGTATAATCCTTAAATTTTCCTCAATTCTGCGTTAAAGTAGGTGCTTAATATGTCTGATTTGACAGGTATGAAAGGCAAGAAACAATGCTCAGTAGTGCTACACTGATAATTATCACTAAGTTACCGATGATTAACATTTGAAGAAAATAATCAGCTTTTTATAGGAATGTTTGGTATGACTTTAACCTTCTTTTTTACTCCTAAATCAATTTTATACCTTTTACTATCGTGATTTTCAA